AAATAATTTTGAAAATTTAATATATTCAGTGATCATTAATTAACTAATTGTTGAACAAGTCAGTCAACTGTAAAGTAGGTAACAAATGGAATTGATTTATTTGAATCTGAATTATTTTACAAATTTAATAATACACATTTTGTTTCTAAACCGTAACAACTTAAAATGTAGAAATTTTGCAATTGATCGAAAAAAAAGTATTTGTTTAATTATGTCCTAATATATTTTGCTGGTTTAATTAGTATGAATCAACTTTTTGTATCAATATTTCACCTGTCACAACTGTTTTCTCTAATAACGTCTATCTACCTAATTAGTTGGACATAGTCCTCCCCAATCATTTTCCATTCTTCTCTGTCTGTCGCTACAGTCATCCATCTAGAGCCCACGTGCTTCTTGATATTATATGCCCATCTCATTTGGGGCCTTCCTCTGCTTCGTTTAAATTCCCACGGTATCCAATTTAAAAGAATTTTGTTCCATCGGTCTTCTTTTTATCTTATATTGTGTCCGGCAAAGCTCCATTTCAATTTTGCAACTTCTTATCTAATATGACTCACTTTTGTTTTCTCTCTTATCTACTCGTTTCTTTTTTTATCCATTAGTCTTATGCGCAACATTTGTCTTTCCATTGATCTTTGGGTTTTTATGATTTTGTCCATGTTTGCTTTTATAAATGTCCACGTTTAGGAACCATAAGTGAGAACAGGGAGTACGCATTGATTGTATACTTTGGTCTTAAGATGCTGTGGATATATTTTGTTTTTAAGAATGTAGTCTAGTTAGCCAAATACCGCCCATGGCAGTCTAACTTGTCTTTTTATCTCTGCTGTTTGGTTTTCTTTGTTAAGTTTTATAGTTTGAGCCAGATATATTTAATCCTGAACTTGTTCTATTTCATCTTGTCCGATCCTCATTGTGATGTCTTCATCCGTATTTGTTTTGTTTTTTTTTCTTGGTGTTATTCATATTAAAGCCTATATTTTCAACTTATTCGTCCAGTTCTTTCATCATTTCAAACAATTCTTCTTTTTTATCGGTTATCAATACGATGTCATTAGCGTACCTTAGATGGTTCAAGCGTTGTCCACAAATTTTTATACCTTTTTCTTCCCATTTTAATCTTTTAAAAATATCTTCCAGAGCCTGATTGAAAATTTTCGCTTATATTGTGTCACCCTGTCTCACGCCTCTATTTATTTGTATTCATTCTGTTCTTTCATATATTTTAATTGTTGTTTTGGCTTCCTTATATATATTGGCTATTAGTTTCGTATATCTGTGGTCAATTCTGCTTAATCAAAGAAATTTTCACTGCCCAATGTTTGACACTGTCGAAAGCCTTTTCAAAATCTATAAACGCTATATATAGAGGAATGTGGTATTTATTTGCTGATTCCATAAGTACTTGGTAAATAGTCACTTGTGCTGAATCCCTTTCTAAAACCAGCTTGTTCTTTCGACTGGTATCAGTCGAATTTTGTCGTCAATCTGTTGGTTAAAATTTTTTTATTACATTACATTGAGGAGTGTTATATGACGGTAGTTTTTTATATCTGCTTTATCCCCTTTCTTGTTAAGGATAATGGTTACGGATTCCTTGCAGTTGTTTGGGATTCTTTTTTCTTTTAATATCTTATTAAAAACGGAATGTAGAGTATTAATTACCACTTTTCCACCATATTTCAGCATCTCTGCAGTTATTCCATCTTTTCCAAGGGATTTGTTGGTTTTCATTTTTTTCAATGCCTTCTTTATTTCTGATTTACTTATTTCTGGTGGCTGTAGCTTTGAGTTGATATTTTTTATGGGATCCCAAGAACTATATTAATATCTTAAAAAAGTGATAAATACCCTAGAGAATGCAGAAACAGACCTGCTACAAATTTCTCCCCTGATGAAGAAAATCTATTGGTCAAATGGTTATTTTATATAGTTGGTTTTTCAGCAACATAGCTTTAGCTCATTAATACATTGCTTTCTACAAAGACATCCAGAGTTGACACATAGATTCGCGCAAAACCTAACCACCGGAGGTCATCTGTCAAAGAAGAAAATTTACGCCGGTGGTCTAGGGATATTAAATCGTACCTTGAGGAGAATAATTATTACGATATTTTTAATGATCCTAAACGAGTATTCAATGCTGATGAGTCGGATTTTTATAAGAATCCTTAAGGAAGCCGAGTTCTTACGCGCAAGGGGATTCCACTGTCCTTCAGCCATCTACCAAATGACGAGAAAGAGTGCCTTACTGTTCTTATGACAGCAAACGCAGCAGTAAACATTGTCCCAGGCATGGTGATGTTTGCTTATGAAAGGATTGCACCGGATCTATCTGCTTCATATGCCAAAATATTTTGCAATTGTTTAAAGTGAAAGTTAATGGATGACCGCATAAACTTTCTATGAGTATATAACGAACGTTTTTTGTCCTTGGCTGTGGAAAATAAAATTAATTTTCCAATTATCTTTTTCGTTGATGGACATTCTAGTCAGTTGACTTTGGCTCTTATTGATTTCTGTACTGAAATAAAAATTATCCTTATTGCACTGCATCTAATTCGACACATATAACGCAGCCGATGGATGTTAGCAGTTTTTAGACCCCTCAAAAATTGCTGGAGAAATATAAGTAAATAATTGGAGAGAATACAAAACAATGGTTCAAAATTGAAGAAGGAGAATTTTGGACCAGTTCTAGCAAAAACCATAGATAATTCTAGTTACTCCGAAAATTATATTGAATGGTTTTCGTGCTGCCGGTTTGTGCCCATTCAACGCCGATGCAATGAACTACCATAAATATTTCAAGTCAAATAATACAAAAATTCACAATAAGCCATTCTCCGTAGAAGAAACTCCACAAAGAAAAAACATTTCAACAAATGTAGAGACCTACATTGAACCTGGCTGCTTACAAGAATTTAATTCAGCAGAATCGGGTACGTGAAACGGAAATATACAACATTTAAGTCTTTTTTAAAGCTTGACTGAAGATCAACAATGAAACACAACTTAACACATCTATCGTTTCCAAATTAAATGAGCCTGAAATCTCAATAACAAAAGAAGACCATTCAGATAACAAGGAGAACAGCATGGATAAAATGCAATACAGATTAAAGATCCACAACCACATTTTGATACGGATAATAATCCACCAGGTGGCGATGTTGCAGTGTTAAACTCGATTTTAATGTTAACGATACACTACTTTAGTATACTTACAACAGAGTTCTCCTTGAAAAACCGCCCGAAAAATATATATACCAATTGATGGAAAAAATTCCGACTTCATTTAAGAAGGCATTGTTTTGGCCAGATAAAACCCATGTTCTAAAGAAACGAAAAAAAGAGTCGGTGAAAAATTGCCTTCTGTTGTAACTTCCGCTCAGTGGAAACAATACCATTTAAC